AAATAACTAATTTTCTACAAGGAAATTAAAATTATATCAAATCGGAAAGAAACCTACTTGTTAACTTTTTATAGGTTTGAAACTAATCATATTTAAAATATTATGATTGTCCTATTCAAATATTAACTTTCACGAATTCAAAACCTCCTAGTTGGACAAAAAAAACCTTCTTTTGTTATTATTATAACAACTTTACTTTTAGAAATAAATCAATAAATTAATGCGTAATACTAAGGAATCATTCGTGCCTAATAATAAGGAAAATGATATCAAAATATTTCTACAAACATTTTATGCGGACAATAATTTAATTAATCTTTATCTTAATTTCTAACGTGTAAACATTTGATATTCACCACAAGTACTTTATGGAAAGATTTAATCAACTTTGGCACATTATTTTAAAAAAATTATACTAAATTAGTTTCTGAAAAATAAAAAAATTAAAAAGATCATTGTACAATATTATAAATTGATTTTTCCAAGAAACTTAAAGCATTACTACACAATATTTTTGTAGCCACATTATGATATAAAAAAAAACTTTCGGCAGAAAATATAAAACAGTCCAATCAAATGTATTTTCATTCTTTTTTCTATTTTTATTAAAAATAAATACAGAAAATAAGGAATCAGACAGGCCTAAGATTTCATTCTGATAGTATATGGGTCTATCCCTGTAATTTATTTACCATAAAACGTCAACATGAAATATAATTAGTTTTCTAGAGCTTGCAGCCGTGTATATTAGGTTGTTTTGGGCCTAAAGACCCTGTCGGCAAAAACCTGGCCCACACCCTTCGCCGACATTTGGCCCAAACCTGATCTCGTTGGTCGCTGGTTTCAAACTATGGGCCCATGGGCTTTTTATATTATCGATCAAATATGTCATTTAATAGCCACACGGTTATTATTCTTCTGGCCTTCCAGCCTGTAGCTAGGCCTTTTTTTGGAGTTCAGCCAAACCTACTAGGTCATTTTTTTTTCAAAAAAGAAAATATATATAATTTTTTTAAAATTCATTGAACGGGTTAAGAAAAGAATTAATAGACAAATTGGATATTTAAAAGTTTCTAATTCATTTTTGCCATCTCATATAATAAAATAATAAAATTTATTTTGTTTAAACCCATTTTCTTGAAAATTTATTATATTTAAACATATTCTATAAAAATCCAGTTTAAACTAACTTATGTTGTATTAAATAAGCCCATTTATTATATTTAAACATATTCTATAAAAATCCAGTTTAAACTAACTTACGTTATATTAAATAAGCCCTAATAGTTAAGAGAAATATAACATACTTACATTTTATCACTTAATATAAGTTATATTGAAAATATTTTTTTCAAAAAAATATTAACAACTAACTAGAAATAGAACTAGCAAATAATATGTATTATCATCTAAAAACAAGATAAGAAAATAATAACAAAAAATTCTTCCATTAAAATTTTTTGCTGCAACTTAGAAAGTTGATAAAAGTAATAATTTCAAACTTTGTTTCGGCTTAGAGAACTTGATTGCAATGTTTAAAATATATGTATTTTAAGTAAAATTTCATAAAAAAATAAACATTTTTAACCACATGTTTATTTAAAATGTAATTTTTATAATATGTTTATTTAAATATTAATTGAAAAACAAGAATAATAATATAGAAAAATAACATAAAATGTTTTACTCTTTTGCCTTTTTTTGGAACAAGTGAAATGCTTGGGACGCGGACAGACCACCCGTCGCTTTAATTTTTAACTTTTTCAATAATTTATTATGATTACGTAGCACATTAGCAAAGGCAAGTTTTACTCACTGGGTCTCTCAGAACCTCCTAACAACGTATATCCAATAGATTATCGACACGACTTCACTAATCAGCGGACGTTGTATCCACTTTACATCCACGTCACAGGCATTTGCATAACTTTTTGACGTGGCACCTCTCTACTCCTGACACAGGGACCTGGCTGGAAAATTCCCTCACAGCTAATCTAAAACCCACCGCCTCTAGTGCGCATACTTCAGTCATCTTAAAGCTTCGTAGGGGTAAATTGGAGAATCTCCTCTCGTTCTAATGGATGTCCCGCGTTAGGCACAAGCCAAATTTCAGTTGGTGCTCTTTCGACTAGGAAACACTCATTCTCTCTCTCTCTCTCTCTCGCCGGAAGGTTTGTATGCGAATTGTTGGGCGAAGGAAGACGGAGGTGAGAAGACATGAATTACCGGAACGACCCTAACCCTTTTGACGAAGTAGAAGAAGTCAATCCATTTTCGGTAACGTTCCTTAGCTCAGCTCCTCTCTGCATAATCTATAAACCCTTCAAAGATATATCATGTATTTGCTTTAATTCCGGTGTTATCGAATTTTCAACATTCAGTTTCTATGGCTTGGATTTTGATGTCATAATTTCGTATTCTTTTGTTAATTTGTTCGGAGAGTTCAAGTCTCCCAAGATCTGAAACCTGGGCTTTTCAAGTGTCTTGAAATTCTGTTACACAACTAATGTAAGGAATGCCGCAGCAGAATGTTTAAAACAAGAAGGATAATTTTAAAATCAATAAATTATAAAGCAGCATACACAACAAGGGCTATACTACCATTCTTGTTTTGCAAAGGGATGCCAGGTGGGAGGAATAGCTATTTGTCTACTGGTTTTGGATCTGCGGATTTTTCTGACATTTTCCATTTTAGCTTTGGGCTTTGCGGAGTATGGATCAAATGAAACGCTCAGATTCTTTTCCCTGCCAACTTTTGTGGCATTTAAGCGAATTGCTTGGGGCACGATATCTCAAATTACTGTAACTGAGTTTTTGAGCATTATAAAGCAGCATAGAAGAGTGACATTTTTCGTGCATATCTGTGATTAAACTTGTTGCTTGTGCAATCTTCAACTTAATGCTTTCAAGCAAATGTTGCAGTCAGTATAGTGGTAATGCAATGGTGCAATGATTTGGGGGAGTAATTGATACTAAGAAGTTACATGTTGTCAGTGAAAGTGGTACTAAGAATTCTGATTCTGTAATACCATCTATTGAAGTGAAAATAGACTGTTGATATGGGATCCTCAGTAGCTCAGAAGAAATTTGGTTCTGGAACTTTCAGAACTCCAAAAGTAATGTGACATATGAGGACACTTAATTTGTGAATCAAAGTCTTCATGTTAGGAAATTAACAGTTATATGAAGCATTATAATTGGTGGACTTGTATCCAGTGCTCTGACATTGGACCAATGCCAAGGATCTTTCATTTTTTCAGCTCCTAGATTAACTTACGGATTGCTAATGAACCAAAATTTACTTTCTCTGCTACTTCTTGAAACAATGGTTATTGCTGTGGCCCTTGTCTTTTTATATCAGGTTTCATGACCACTAGTACAGAGTGACAAAGGTTCCACATAAGGTTGCAATATGGATACATTCACCCGATTTTTGCTTTCTTGAATAATGTAATTGAAATGGGTAAAACTTGTTTGGTGATAAAATTTTACACCATGTTGCCTCTAAAGCGTACTAAAGGAGATGTGGAAATTGATGCTACAGAAAGGACCTATCTGCAAGTAGTTTATTGATTGTGTGATAACATGGCAGAATTAGACGTAGCTAAATACAGAAGAAATGGAATACAGAACTGGATGAGATGAAGAGAAATTGCCAACAGATTAAAGAAGATGACAATATGACCTAGAAAGATTGGGAATCAGCTAATTTGATGCTTCATCATCAGTGTTGACTTGCAGTGACAACTACATGCAACCCTCGGCTTTTTTGCCCCTCTTCTTCATCTTGGTTATCTCTGTTTACTGAAAAGTCATTTTTAGGCAATGAAATCATGTAGTCTGGATTTTATCTAGCCAAGCAATGGTATTAACCATACAAATGGTCCAAGCATATAATCAATGTGCAAGAAATTGGCTCAGGCCAACTTGAAAGATGTTAGCATCCATACTATAAATAGGCCTGACATAAGTGGTTACCTCTAAATATCTTAGCAAGTTTTATAGGCCACTGTGATGCAGCAGCAGTATTTTTAATATTCTGCTTTTTTATTTTTTATTTATTTTTTTTAGTCTATTTTATTTTGACTTGGAATGTTTTTATTTATAATAAGTGATCACATGACTAGCATGTGACTTTTAATGAGGTTTAGACTTGAGATTAGGTGGGCCTTGAAATAATGGGCTAGGTTTAGTAGTATGTTAATAACCCTAGTATAAATAATCCTAGGAATTTGAATGCAGCAACTTTTTTAGTCATAGATGAGAATTTCAGATCTAAGAGGTTTCTAAACCCTAGAATCCTTCTTTTATCATTCCACTTCAATCTATCCTACTGCTCTTTTCAAATTGTATCGCTTGAGTCGTTGTCTACTATCTTCTACTGCATCACAATGGCAGTCCAATTTAAAAATATTGCCTCACTATATGGCCATCCAATTATATGGCCATCCAATTATCAGTGTCTAACTTGTAATTAAATATTAATTCAACTTAATATCCTCCGCCCAATTTGAATTTATGGTTGATGGTGGACTTACATTTTTAATTAGGGTCACTTTTTTAATTCATTAAGCAGGCATGAATCTTTGTTAGTGTGATTTATAGATTTTGTGCATGAGAAGTTGCAAAAGATAACTTAAAAAGTACTAAAGTAAAGGTAAGCCCCTGAGCCTTATTCCCATTTTTGGACAAGAAAAGCCATATTCATGTCTGAGTTTTAGAAAATCCTGTAGTTTAAACTCTGGAAATGTATATATTTTTGACACCTGCACTTGAGAGGTTGAGTATCATAGGTTTATTTGGTTTAAAGTGATAAGGGAACAAAAATTGTTGGCATTTGACAGATTATAATAGATACATGCTTTTGATTCATAAAAGCAATTATCACTTTCTTTGCAATTTACATGACAACATATTGCTTATGCAATTTAATTTCTCTTCTTAAAATATTTATGTCTATTACATTATTTATGTGGGTCTGTGCTGTTGTTTGAAAGCAGAATGCCACGGCTGCGCAAGGATCAAAGTCACGCATTCATCAAGTGGTTGCTCAAACCATGGGTTTTGGACAAAAACATGATGCAACCATGGATATACCATTGGATACAATGAATGTAATGAACTTGCTCTTTTGTGCATATATGCATGCTTTAAAATATTGGAAATGCTTGTAACATTTGGTGTGTTATATTGCAGGATAAGAAGAAAAAGGAAAAGGAACTTGCACTTTGGGAGGCAGATCTGAAAAGGAGGGAACAAGTTAGTTTAAATTAATTTTATTGAACACATGCTTGCAAATATAACTCATAAATATGTTTATGTTTCTTTACTATAAGTTTCTTGTTTGTTTGCCTTAAAAATAACAACCATACTGCATCAGGGAACACTAACGATTTTTGTCTAGATGTTGCCAATTATAGAAGTACTATAGTATTTTTTGATTTGATAACTTTTCTGATATACTTTTTTACTTGTTTAAGTAGTGTGAGTTTGCTGATTCTATATTTTACTTTTCAGGAACTTAAACGAAGGGAAGATGCTGTTGCTAGTGGTAAGCTATCAAAACAAGGCAAAGCAATTCTATTGTCCAATATGTTGAAGGGGTTCTCATGTTTTCCTCTCAACTTTGCATTTCAGCTGGTGTCCCTTCAGATGATAAGAACTGGCCTCGGTCTTTTCCAATTATTCATCATGATATAGCCAATGAAATTCCTGTTCATGCTCAGAGATTGCAGTATCTGGCCTTTGCGAGTTGGTTAGGTAAGGGTTGTTCTTTCTTTTAGTGGAGTATTGTTCTTTTGGTGTATATGTATTAGTTGTTTCTCTCTGAAATAGTTTTATCTGGGATCACTTGGTGGTTAAAAATATAATTAGTGAAGTCTCATTACTCAGTTCAAAATTGATGGTTAGGAATTGGGCTAGAAGCAAGTATTTGGGATTCCACTCCCATGAAGGTTGTCTGGGATTTGAAGCTCATGATTCCCATATTAATTAAGAAAAAGGAGACACACCTTCACAAGTTATGAAACTGCAAATTACATGCACTCTTGGTTTCCCTGTAAAACATTTTTATCTATACAAACTTAAGTCTTTTCTTTCTGACACAATGGCTCAGACGGTAAAATGTCCACTATTGGACCAAATGCTTTCATTCAAGTGTAAGGAGTCTATGCAATATATTTTCAGCATTTCTTCTTGTGGACTTTGTTGTCCAGGTTATTCGGCATGGTTCACCTAAATCTTGCTGTATTTATTCTATCTCTACTCTAAAGTTATCTTTCTAACATAGATTTGATAATTAGATTTTGATGGACTGTGCACTTTTATACATAGAATTGTTTGCTCTAGTTCTTCTGATTTCATTCTCCGCCTATCCACAAAATCCCCCCCTTCCCCCCAACTCACCATTTTTGCTTATATTGCAGGTATAGCTCTTTGTCTAGTATATAATGTTATTGCTGTGACTGTTTGTTGGATTAGAGGTGGAGGTGAGGTTTTTATTTATCATTTTCCCTGCTATAAATGCAATCAAAAGCTTGTTTAAAGGTTTTGTATAGAGCTTCTAACTTGGTTCTTTATATTGCAGGTGTAAAAATTTTTTTCCTGGCAACAATATATGCTTTACTTGGATGCCCTCTTTCTTATGTCTTGTGGTATAGGCCACTCTATCATGCTATGAGGTACTCCATTATGCTTTTTGGGTGTTTGATTCTGGTATAGGAGATATTTATCCATGCTTATTTTGCCAATGCCTTTTTATTTTCATTTTTGTTTTCATTTTCCCCTTTATATAATAGAAGAATTTTTTTTTTTTTTTGGTGGGGGGAGGGGGAGGAAACAACAATGTGGGTGGAAAGGAACTTCTCTTCATTTTTTCCCCCATTTTTTAATGATCTATCTGCCCTTTGATTTGTCAATAATATCATTTCATTTTTATACTTTATTCAGAATAGTGATGTAAAGAAATATCAAAGCATCCAGCATTCAAGGCATGTTTACTTATTCTAAAATTTTCCAAAAGCAGATTTGTTTTTATTGTTTTGTTTTATTTTATATTTTTTTTACCAACCTAGAAACTCTCATTGAAGAAAAAAGTATATTTTAACAGATGCACATTTCAATAGTGGAGATGATACTTTTTTGAATTTTGAGGAAAATTTTGAATATTTATAGGAAACTCTAAAATAATTGATGGAAAATTAATAAGGAGTCCTGGGTAAAACAAGAAAAACTTCCTGGAAACATGCTTTTCAAATATCAGTTGTTCAATGGACCTTTTATACCCTCCTCAGGCTTTATTTCTCAGCAACAACATTTAGTTATACATAGTACAAGTTTTTCCTAAATATTTTCGATTTTTATAGTTATAATTTATCATGTGGATTTTATAAAGATCTTTAATCTTTCTCTCTGGTTCCTAATGGGTTCTCTTATAAGTATTTTATGCAACTATATATCTTGTAATCTTTGTTGTTTCCTCTAATAGTTTTAGGACACATTTTTTATTTTTGTTTCTTTTCTAAAATAACCAATATAATATATAAACAAAAGGGGATGTTTAAATAGATTTGGCTTCCCAAGTTGTGTAAAATAACCAATATATTTTTATAAACAAAAAGCTGATGTTTAGATAGACTTGCTTCCCAAGTTGGTGCTTTTGTGGCTAACAGCATGAAAGTTCTCCATAGAGTGCTAATATTTGGATTGTACGGCTGTTTCTGAATGCAGGACAGACAGTGCTTTGAGATTTGGTTGGTTTTTCATGTTCTACTTGGTGGGTCCGCTTTTATCTGTCAACATTTACAGCTTCTTTGAGTTATTAAATTTCTGTGTTTGATGGTGCTGGTGTTTGCAGCTTCACATTGGCTTTTGCATTTTTGCTGCTATTGCTCCTCCTATTGTGTTTCATGGGAAGTCACTGACGTAAGTTCTCTTCATCTTTATCTTTAGTTTAAGTAAGTTTTCTACATCTCTGTCTACAGTTTAAGCGGCTTATATATATCTTATTGTTTAAGAGGAAGGATTAATTAACACTTAGTGTAAGTCCAAGACACTTACACCACATTTTACACCGTTAATTTGGTCAAAATTAACAGATAAGATTTATTTGTAAATTAATTATTAGAAGTTATTGAAAATGAATCTCATCCGTTGATTTTGACCAAATTAACAGTATAAGATGTGGTGTAAATGTCTTGAACTTACACTAGGTATTAATTGATCATTCCTCGTTGTTTAATATTTAGTTTTAATAGTTTCTATCTGAGAAGTTATTATGAGATTTCATCTCTTTATCTACTCATGTATATAGATATCTTTTTTGGAAAGCAAAATAAGATTCATTCGTTGAGCTGAATTTGCAAAATGTAATCATAATTTTTGGAATTATTAAGATCTTTAGTGAGGTTTTAGTATGACCATATTGCATCTTTGTGCACACCTTGTAGAAGTCATGTTTCCAAAGATTCAGGATGAAAATAATGAGGTCGTCTAACTTAGACTCTTGACGTTTGCCCAATATAGCAGTTCTTTATCATGCCAAATTTAACTGCTGTTTAGCATGTTAAATATGATTTTGACCAATGTATTTTTGTGTTTTAGTATAAACTTTTAGGCTTCTGACACTCGGCTAAGTGGACAGGGCTCATACTAAGAGATTCCTCCTTCTAGGACAAACTCTTTTTGCTCCGCTAATAAAATCTTAGGGGCTTGTCTGTTTACTGGGTCAGGTAATGAGAGATTGTTTATTGTGGCAACCGTTTGATGGGTCTTATGAGATAGAATAATTGTGAATGGAGTTGATTCGGTATTTGACTGGATTGTATGAGATGAAGTGGGACACATGAGTCGGGGACCATGGAAATTACTCCTGCAGTGGAAAGATTATTCCTCATTGGAAACGAGTTGTGTGGGGGAAATGGGGATAATGGGTCCTCCACACTGTAGTTGTGCACAAGCAGGGACAAGAAGAAAAGGGGAAACCAACTGGGAATCTTAGCCCCTAGGAGTAGCAGTCCTATGCTCTGCAACTCAGAGCAGATAATAGTAGAGGACCGATGGTCCAATTCCCGCCACCCCAACCCCCACACCACCACCCCCCCCCCCCCCCAAGAAAAAAAAAAATAGTACTTAGCATGCTGTTAATATTTTTTAGGCGGTTTAAGGCGGTGTCAGAATCCTTCAGGCTACAGTGACTCTGGTCATTCTTTGAAGTTGACTCACTTCATTAATTTACATATGTTGTTCTTGCTTTCATCCCTAACTTGTGTAAGAAAGTTACAAGATTTTGACTTTGAAATATATTTGGTTTCTCTATTAATGTCATTGTTGACAGGAAATTTTTTATTTACTTTTTTTATGATGTGATGAGTTTCAGTAAAGATATACATGAACCATACTTGTGCTGCAACTCTAGTTTTTATTTAGTAGTAGACTCAATTTACTTATCTTTCTTCCCTGGATCTCAATAGCTAACATATTTTCCCTCTTCTTTTCAAATATTAGGGGCATCCTTGCAGCAATTGATGTGTTCTCGGACCATATGTTGGTGGGGGTAAGTCGGATAACCTGTCTACCTGCATGCATACATCTTAAATGTCATTTTGCAGCTGGAACTGTTTAAGAACCTTTTTCCAGCAGTAAAAGTAACACAATTACATCTATCTCGTCCCATCCTCTTTTCATGGTGCTTTGTGGAGATCTTTTGGATTAGCTGCGGCAGTCTGTAGAAGTCTAGAACATCAAAAACATTGATAAAAATCTATAGAATTAGACTATCTATATAATGTTACAACTAACATATAATATATTGCATGATGAAGAATGTTGAATTTGGATAGTTATATTCATATATGCTTACTGATATTTTCTGATTCTTGAAATCAATTTGATGTACGCGCCTTAGTGGTGTTAATGATACATTTTATCCATATTGGTTAATGCTTGTGACTTGTTTGGGAATTTTTAGCTGGTGGACCTGAAACAATAGGTGATTGTCAGAGACATTGATGTCATAACTATGCACCATTTGAGTCTTTTTTTTTTTATTTTTTTACTCATTGTGCTAATGCCTTGTCAAATTTGAGCAAAATTTGTGGGACAATAGTTCACTGGCTATTAAATTTTCTTTTTCTTTGCATTTGTTTCTTTATTTTTTATTATTATTATTATTATTATTATTTTTTGTGTTGATATGGATGTAACTAACTTGCCTGTCTTTTGAATTATTTCCATGCAGATATTTTATTTGATTGGATTTGGCCTGTTTTGCTTGGAATCACTTTTAAGTTTGTGGGTTCTTCAGGTTTGTGATGGGAAACTCAGTATTACTTGCTTTACTTGTAGAAGTCGGTTCTTTCTTGAATCATGATGGTATATCATGAATTATGTGATGTTAATATATATTTGGGGATTATTAAGCCTTTTGGTTGGCATGATGTGCCTTCATTTTCATTTTTCCTTCTTGTACTGCTTTGCTTGTTGATATCCTGTTGATCAATTTGGCAAAAGATGATTGACTTCTGGTGAGGGAGGTAGCAAAAGGACAAGGGTAGTGGGGGGGAGCTGGGGTTTTGGTTAGTTGTCTGTAGGGGGGAGAAAAGGATGGGATACGGGTTTTCTCCATTTTTCTGAACCTTCTTTTCTGGCCTTCTATTTTGATAAGATCAATATTAACATCTAAAAACTGCATCTCCATAGTGAGCTTTGATTCTGTTTGCAATTGGATCTCATTGATCAAAAGTCATTTAGCCGAGGGATTTAATTGGACTCGACCAAGGGGATGGGATAGGGGTCTTATTCTGTTTCTCTGAACCTGCTCTTCTGGCCTTCTGTATTGTGGTAAAATCAATATTAGGAGCTAAAATTGCAGTGCAATTGGATGTAATTCATCCAAAGTTGTTTGGCTGAGGGACTTTGATTGGACTGTTTCTTTCAGCCAAAAACTACCTAATGATTTTGAGAGCCATTAGTGGTTCTAATACATAGTTCAAATGCAAGTAGAGAAGATGGGCATCTATGATGTTCATTGTTGGATCATATAGTCGTAACTTGCATTTGTAAGCATCAATTCATTTAGCCATTTAGGTACCAGTTATAAATATGATAACCTTTTTAGAATTTTATGATGGGCTCTCTGAGAATGTCACCAGAATAATTAAAGACCATTGTTTGTGGGATTTGAGAATTTCTCTAGATTAGCTGAAGACTTCTATTTTTATTTTCATTATTATGTTGAAACTGTCTTATCTATATAAGAGGTGCAAGGAGGAATGCTGAATAGAATATCGGACCATGTGAATTGTCAGGTGATATTGTCTGATGGGAATGTTATCTAGTTCTGCAATGTCAAATATGACCACGAATCTGGTTAACTTGTCCTATACAACAATTTTTTTTATTTTTTTATTTTTTGGGTGATGGAAGGGTAAGACCAGAGAGTTTTTGTTAGAGGCTTGGGATTAAGATTTGACTCAAATGATTTTGAGCACTTATTTTGTAATGCCTGATCCCCAGATAAACATTACTAGGTCAACATATTATGTATTATGATGACTTCCTGGTCTTGAATTGCAATCTATTTGTGGCATTGGGAAATTTTGCCTCAGTAATTCCTTCTAGGTCATGGCCCCCTGAATCATCCTAAGTTAGATTGTACAAGACATATCTCAAATTTTGTTGCATTGGGAAAATTTGCCTCAAGGACTCCCTATGGGTCACAACTCTTTGAAATATCATATGTAGGGTATACAAGATATCTCTCACCCAGTGACACGGTTGTTGAGATAGTTGTAACTTAAGAAAGTTGTAACAGTTAAGAACTTGTCCTAACATGTATATATAGATCAGTATGTGCTGTTGTCTGGTTGAGTGGGTATGTTAGTCTATTCAGTAAGTCATGATGTAGTCTTTCTATCTCTGGAAACTGAACTACCTGTAAGATAAGGAATATTTTATGCTAAATTTTGTGCCGAATGCATGAATTCTCACTTATTATCATACTATCTCTTATTGTCAAAGGCATACATGTATATAGTCATGACTATTTTCCACTCAGAAGTGCCTTCATTGCATTTTATCCTTTAGCTTAATTAATTGACTACTCTTTTGCCTCTGGTGTGCAGAAAATTTACATGTACTTCCGAGGTCACAAGTAATGCAAGAATTATGGGTCACATGCCATTCAGAATTTTAGTATTGCCGCTTGCTGAGCTTCTCAAGTACATTCTTCTCCTCCCCTCCACACTCCCCCCCCCCACCCCTCCAAAAAAAAAAAAAAAAAAAAACCAAAAAAACAAAAAATCATGTCATCCTTGAGGTAGTTTACTGAGTTTGATGGGTTGATTTCTTCTGGGTATTGTCCTTTTTTCCCCTATTGCATGACCTTGAATGGTCTCGCATGGTTGTAGCACTCTGAGCCACCGTGACTGTAATTTGCTGCTCTCTTTCCTCGTATATATCAGTGATATGAATCTATACTGGGCCCAATATTGATTATCACAAGAGCTTGTTTGTATGGGACTTGTTATAAAAAAAGTATTTGTTTAATGAAGAAAAGCACTTCTGGACGAAAATAGTGTGTTTGGTAGCATTTTAAGGAAAAGCAGAAGCCCAAAAAAGTAGAAAACTGATTATTTTTTCCTTTTCCCCAGAAACTGATAGGAGCTACTTCTCCAAATAGATGTGCAGTGGAAGGTAGAAATTTTTTAAGGCGGAAACAACACTTTCAGACAAAAATACTCTTGTATAATTTTTAAAATGACAAGCATTGCCCTTACCCTTTTTATAGACGGATTCTGGTATCATTTCAATCAGTGTCCCTGTATTTCTATCCAGCGCTCCATTGCCATCGTCTGCCATTTGCATTGGTGTACTTCCTCTTCAGTGTTGAATCCTAGTGGTTTTTTAATCGTGTAATTAGTC